ATCAAGGAGCTGAACGCATTTTGAAGTGAAGTGGCGAGTTTGTTGTCCTACATTTTGGTTCAAAGTGCGGAAGAAATGGATAGATGTGAGACGATGACGATGGGTGTGAGACACTGCACGACACGACCGATTGTTCCACCCAAGCATAGTGAGCCAGTTTTTGAGGAGTCTTGGCTCTCCTTTCGAGACGCCTAAAAAATCCGCGAGAACTGAGACGACTTTTGAGGCGCCTCAAAAGCAACGGATAGATGTGAGATGATGACGACGGGTGGGTGTGAGACACTCCACGACACGACCGATTGTTCCACCCAAGCATAGTGAGCCAGTTTTTGAGGAGTCTTGGCTCTCCTTACGTTAGCAATAAGGAGTTTTGAGGGCAATCATCCCCTCGCTATAGGAGAGGGCAATAATCCCCTCGCTATAGGCACCTGACGCCTTTCACAGGGTCTATTGATGAGTCGACGTACAAACCTGGTGCAAAGCATTTAGCTACCGGTATTAGAGGTAGTAAGCATTTATGTCCCCGTTATAAGCGCCTGGCGCCTTCTACAGGATCCAACACCAGCGGCAGCAGCGGCAGTCACTTGGATGAGGCGCCAGGGCAGCCAATGAACGGCTGTCACGTGGCAGTGGGAGGAAGAGTGGCTGTGCTAGGGCAGGTTCATGGGGCGTTGGGGGAGGAGGGGGGGAAGGAAGGAGGGGGTGAAGGGGGTGAAGGGTGGTTGGTGGCAGGAACAGCTGCTGTGCTAGGGCAGGTCCATGGGGCGTTGGGGGAGGAGGGGGGGAAGGAAGGAGGGGAGGATGGGGGGTTGGTGGTAGAAGGAGGGGAGAAAGGGAGGGTAGCGAGAGGGAAATAAAGGTGGATACTCCTTGCGAATCCAATCCCAATTCCAACAAAAACACCCAACCCTACACCCAACCCACACCCAAGCCCAAGCCCATCACCAACACTATTCCCAGACTCAATCCCAATCCACATCGCGGCTTGAGAGTCCCTGCAACACCCCCGGGCGTGTGAATACTGGTTTTTGAGAATTCTCAAAACCCAGCCCCACACCCAACCCACACCCAAGCCAAGCCCATCACCAACACCATTCCCTGACCCAATCCCAATCCACATCTTGGCCTGAGAGACCCTGCAACACCCCCGGGCGTGTGAATGCTGTGAATGCGACTGCTGGTGATGCGGGCAGAGGTGGAGCAGATACTAGAGTTATTTCTCGACGAAACCGAAGGCGAGTTCTGACGCCTATGTTGAAATTGCTTCTGAGGATTTCTCAAAGGTGAATGCTACTACCGGTGATGCGGGCAGAGGTGCATCAGATAATTCTCGATGAAACCGAAGGTGCGCTTCCCTTTTCGCTTTTTTCTCAACCCTCTCTGCTCACTCCTCACTCCTCTCTCCTCTCTCCGCTCTCCTCTTTCCTCTTCCCTCTCTCCTATCTCCTCTTTTTGTAGCCAGCAGTGTGTCTTACATCCAGCAGTGTGTGCTATAACCAGAGGAAAGCGTTCGGGGATTTTTTTCAGTCGAAAGGTGACTCAAAAGGTGACTTTGTGACTCACCTCCAGCAGTGTGTGCTATAACCAGAGGAAAGTGTTGGGGGAATCGTGGTTTGTTTGAAATTCATTGTGTCACCTCATTAACTGATTTTGAGTCATGAAGTGATTGCATGTTGTGCATGTGTGTGCATGTGTATTTGTGTGTGAGTGTGTGTGTGTGTGTATGTATGTGTGTGTGTGTGGTTTGTGTGTGTGTGTGTGTGGTTTGTGTGTGTGTGTGTGTGGTTTGTGTGTGTGTGAGTGGTTTGTGTGTGTGTATATGTGTGTGTGTGTGTGTGTGTGTGTGTGTGTGTGTATGTGTGGTTTGCTCCTCCAAGGAACCTTTTATTATTATCTTCCCTGTTGCTTGGCAATCTGACAAGCAGGTTGTTGAGGAACAGGGCGAGCCACCTGACAGGGCGACCACGGGCGTGGTGAAAGGGGCTGATGAGCAAGGCCCCAGCGAGCAAGGGAAGCACTCACCAGTGAGCAAGGGAAGCACTCACCAGTGAGCAAGGGAAGCACTCACCAGCAAGCAAGGGAAGCACTCACCAGCAAGCAAGGGAAGCACTCACCAGCAAGCAAGGGAAGCACTCACCAGCAAGCAAGGGAAGCACTCACCAGCAAGCAAGGGAAGCACTCACCAGCAAGCAAGGGAAGCACTCACCAGCAAGCAAGGGAAGCACTCACCAGCAAGCAAGGGAAGCACTCACCAGCAAGCAAGGGAAGCACTCACCAGCAAGCAAGGGAAGCACTCACCAGCAAGCAAGGGAAGCACTCACCAGCAAGCAAGGGAAGCACTCACCAGCAAGCAAGGGAAGCACTCACCAGCAAGCAAGGGAAGCACTCACCAGCAAGCAAGGGAAGCACTCACCAGCAAGCAAGGGAAGCACTCACCAGCAAGCAAGGGAAGCACTCACCAGTGCCTGCGTCACAATGGTGACATACGCACGAGTTTGCACGAGTATGGCGAGCGAAGCATGCATGCTTCCATATCCTGACATACGCACTGTGCCCAAAGATCACACAATCGCAATGGTGACTGACGGGTACCATGATTTCAACGTGCCTAACGATCACACAATCTTTGTCCCTTTGGGCCTCAATCAAACAGCCATGTCCTACTCTCTTCCCGCATACTCCTCCTATACCATCCCATTTCATGCAATGCAATGCCATGCGACGTTATATGGTGCGTACATAATCATCAGGTCATGGAGGAGGAATGTGAGGCGATGTTTTTTTTTTTTTAGGCGCCTCAAAAGCCATGCAACGTTATATGGTGCGTATCACATCACATAATCATCAGGTCCTGGAGGAGGAATGTGAGGTGAAGGAGAGGGAGAAGGAGCAGCTGGAAGGGAGGATTGCTGCAGTGCAGCAGGTGAGTGAGGGTCAATGCTGTTTGTGTCCAACTAAGGGATAATGAGTGAGCGGCAACAGGCAGGATAGCGGCAGTGCAACACTGTTTCTGAAACGCCTTGAAGAACAGGCCCTAGAGGAGGAGTGTGGGGCGAAGGAGAGGGAGAAAGAGCAGCTGGAAGGGAGAATAGCGGCAGTGCAGCAGGTGAGCGAGTGGCAACGCTGTGCGAGTGGCATGCCATGACATGCCACACCATGCTACATGATCATCAGGGCTTTTGAGGCGCCTCTAAACAGGAGACGACTTTTGAGGCGCCTCAAAAGACGCTGTGCGCGTGCCATGCCATGACATGCCACACCATGCTACATGATCATCAGGGCTTAAGTGTTTGTACCGCGTGTTTCTCTGCTTTTGAGGCACCTAAAAATGATCATCAGGGCTTAAGTGTTTGTTCTGCGTGTTTCTCTGCTTTTGAGGTGCCTCAAAAATGATCATCAGGGCTTAAGTGTTTGTACTGCGTGTTTCTCTGCTCATCGGGAGAACGACTTTCTAAGGGATGCAGTAATGGTCTTCTGGAGGCAGCTAGGGGTCTCGATACAAGTGTACTCAACACAAGCATGAAGAACATCAAGTGTACAAGTGTACTAGTAGCACCATCAACATAGAAGTAATCTCATAACAAAGTGCAACCAGTGCCAGCTTTTGGACTTTTCCTTCATACCAACTCATTTAATGATCTCAACTCATCTATTTCATCTCAACTCATCTATTTCATCTCAACTCATCTCATTCATCCCAACTCATCTCATTCATCCCAACACATCTCATTCATCCCCACTCATCTCATTCATCCCAACTCATCTCATTCATCCCAACTCATCTCATTCATCCCCACTCATCCCATTCATCCCAACTCATCTCATTCATCCCCACTCATCCCATTCATCCCAACTCATCTACTCTCTTCTTGGGATCAACAACCTTATCGATCGCTCATGGCATCTTGCATCCTTACTTTCTCTTAGTCCAATCCCCTTTGCCCGCACAATCACTCCTCTTCCGCAGCAGCAGCAGAATCCTGATTCATGACCATTATGAACATTTGAAGTGATGCTACACGAGTCGTCCCCCACCTCCTCATCGTTCCACCTGTGCTCCTCCTGCCATCTGCTCAGATCCATTCATAACGCCCTTGGTGAATGTCAGGTGACTCTTCTCTCCCTCTCCATCCCCTACCTCCTCATATGCTCTCTCGATTCACTAACTTCCCATCGTCCCTCACGTCTTCCTGCCATCCAATCAATCCCTTCATAACTCCCCTGATCCCTGCTAGGTGACTCTTCTCTCCCTCTCTATCCCCTACCTCCTCATGTGCTCTCGTTTCACTAACTTCCCATCGTCCCTCCTGTGCTCCTGCCATTCACTCAATCCCATCATCACACCCTCGGTCATTGCTAGTTGATTATTCTCCCCCCCTCTCTTGTCTCCTCTTGCACTCTCTTTTCACCACTGTTAATTCCACTCCTGCCCTATTCCCTCACATCCCTCCTTGCTTTCCTTTCCTCACTCTCCCTTTCCCCATTGTTTATTCCCCATTGCGTGATATTAATCAAGGTATGGGATGTCTGAATGATTGTTATCCTCGCTGCACTTCTCGCCCTTGTTTCCCCCTAGCCAACCATTTCCCTAATTTCCCTGGTTGATCCCCTTTTCTCAAAACATGTACAATAACATTGATTATATTGGTAATAGACATTAATGATGGAGGGCCGAGTTGTACAGGAATGTATCGTACCCTAATGCTGAATCTGAAAGGCTTGAGAAATCATTGTCGTTCTGCACACCATCTATCGTTCTTTTATATGCCCAAGGAATGAGCTATACAAAGAATGTTTACACTCCATCTGTGCAGAAAATTTCCCCACAGGACTATCTATGTAGGTAATCCAAGATGTTTTGTTTTTCTTGGATAAAATTGCATTATAACATTCAGATACATCAGCAGCGGAAACCGTCCAGAACCAGCACTGTACACTAGCTACCATTGACCACTATAGCGTACAAACCCGCACGTCCATCTCTTCATGTGCACCAGATTTTACCCTACTATGGGGATTCTCTGAACAATCCCGCGTGAGTCCACGAAGATGCGAATGCGATCGTCGCGATAATCCATGATAACCTTATGCGCACTCGGGATGATCTCGATGTTCCAGTTGCACTGCGGCACAGACGACTGTATGTAAGTGCGAGCCGCGTCGCCCGTCATACCCAGCACCTCAGGCCACGACGTCTTACTGAAAGAAAGGGAATATTGGCACACGAGATTCACGCAATTATTGACGATTCACGCAGTTTGAGGTATGCATGACGAATATGAGAATGGTTCACCACCTCAGCCCCGTTCACTAATTTCCAACCCTAGTACTAACACCTCGTTTACTGCCAACAGTCCCGACGAACCTGCAGTCGAGTTGCTTTGGGATTTTCGGGGGACCTTTAGTCTGCGGCGGAAATCTACGAGAGGAAGCGAGGGGAAGCAGCGACACGGAGAGCAGGAGCAAGGCCAAGACGGGTAAGAGACGGCGAGGCTCCATTTGTTGACGGGACAGAAGAAAAGAAGCAGAGGGCTCGTGAAACAGAGGAGCGTACATGAGACTGAAGATGCTGCTGCTAATATACTGCTCCATCATGGAAGTTGACTCCGAAAAATACACGGTGGATTTGAAGCTGTTCGGGAAAAAACTCAGTGTTCATCCGTTAACGCTGAGAACCGGACAGGCGTCGTTTCGCAGGAGCTGTTACGGTATGAGGACCAATAGTAAGAAGGATTTTTTTTGTCTCTTCAGACTACTAAAAATCGTCATGCGACATCCTTCCTGTTGAGCCATCGGCCAAAGACGCTAGTCTGAATTCTTATGTGGTCGGTCGCTACAGATAGCTAGGAAAATTAACGACAGAATGTAATGGAAGTTCTCGGGAGATACTTAGTTGCTCATGAATTGCGCGTGGCGTGTGGAAAATTATGTGGTCACGATACATAGTTGGCTGATGAATTCGGCGTAGGGGAAGTTTGTGGGTCAATGAAGCTTGGCAGGTTCTGCGAGCTACACATTTTAGTTCCGATATAGACTGAATCGTGGGGGAAGTTGTGCGGTCAATGAAGCTTGGCAGGTTGTGCGAGCTTCAGATGGTTCCGATATAGACTGACCTGCTAGAACTTGAGAGCCACAAAGGTGAAAACTGCTAAACAAAACATCTCTCTGTCTCCGCAAGATCCTTGAGCGGAGGCCAAACCTAATTGGTAACTTTGGGAATATTTGGGTACGTAATTCGAGTTTAAATAAACGTTATAAATTTCATAATCTATTAGGTTAGACCCATATGGCAAACATGCTGCTGCTTTTCATTGAGTCAAGTACACTAGAAACGTCCATATACGGCCTTTATCGCGTACATTACAGAAGTAGATCTGAACGCATTGTCACCAAGTTTCGCCATACCTCCCTTAGCCGTTCTGTCACGCGGCGAGCGCAAATCTAGGCGGCCCCTGCGGCCTGCAGTGGCCATACGCGCCGATGCCGAGACGCCGCAGATCCGCTGCTCTCAATCGAATAAGCAGAGATTTTCCACTCCGCGATTTCGCTACCTGTTCGCCCTTTCGAGCGAACCAGATGCTTCGTCGCATCTTCACCATTAGTCCTCGCATCTCTACGGTTCTTCGTGGTCTCAACCGAGCCTAGAAGTTGTCGGCCCCGCAGCAAAGTCTGATTCGCAGAGCAGATCGCCGCTTGTCGCACCAGCCACTCCCTCCGTTCATATAAATTCCTCCTTAGGGGCGAGCTCGTTACATGTACAGGTTGCCTTCCCCGCCCAAGCTCACGCATCAGGCCAGCTAAACGGTAGCGCTGACGCTAATATCGCAAATGCTTCTAGTGCGGATGTTATAAGTAGCGCTGGTGCAAGTTCCGCCAACTCCTTGCGAGAAGGCTTGGCGCTGTCGTTCTTGGGGCAATGGCAGGAGTAGTCTGATTTTGAGGCGCCTCATACTCAGATGCAAGTTTTGGCAGGTCCTTGCGGGAAGGTTTTGAGCTGTCGTTCTTGGGGCAACGGCGGTCAACTCCTTGCGGTAAGGTTGGCGCTGTCGTTCTTGAGGCAACGGCGGGAGGAAAACGCGGCGGAGATCGTCTGCCACGTGGCGGAGCCCGCATCGGCGCGCTTCAGAGAGGGGATGACGGGGGGAGCGCGGCGGGAAGCGGAAGAAGGAGCAAAGGGGGAAGAGAGAAAGAGGAGAAAGGGGGGTAACGATTATGGGATTGACGTCAGCGAATCGGCGGGGGTTGAGAACTTGCGATCAAGGAGCTGAGCGCTGTGGCGTGTTTGTTCTCCTACATTCTGGTTCGAGCGAGGAAGAACAGGATAGATGTGAGACGAGGATAGATGTGAGACGAGGATAGATGTGAGACGAGGATAGATGTGAGACGAGGATAGATGTGAGACGAGGATAGATGTGAGACGAGGATAGATGTGAGACGAGGATAGATGTGAGACGAGGATAGATGTGAGACGAGGATAGATGTGAGACGAGGATAGATGTGAGACGAGGATAGATGTGAGACGAGGATAGATGTGAGACGAGGATAGATGTGAGACGAGGATAGATGTGAGACGAGGATGGATGTGAGACGAGGATAGATGTGAGACGAGGATAGATGTGAGACGAGGATAGATGTGAGACGAGGATAGATGTGAGACGAGGATGGATGTGAGACGAGGATGGATGTGAGACGAGGATGGATGTGAGACGAGGATAGATGTGAGACGAGGATAGATGTGAGACGAGGATAGATGTGAGACGAGGATAGATGTGAGACGAGGATAGATGTGAGACGAGGATAGATGTGAGACGAGGATGGATGTGAGACGAGGATGGATGTGAGACGAGGATAGATGTGAGACGAGGATAGATGTGAGACGAGGATAGATGTGAGACGAGGATAGATGTGAGACGAGGATAGATGTGAGACGAGGATAGATGTGAGACGAGGATAGATGTGAGACGAGGATAGATGTGAGACGAGGATAGATGTGAGACGAGGATAGATGTGAGACGAGGATAGATGTGAGACGAGGATGGATGTGAGACGAGGATAGATGTGAGACGAGGATGGATGTGAGACGAGGATAGATGTGAGACGAGGATAGATGTGAGACGAGGATAGATGTGAGACGAGGATAGATGTGAGACGAGGATAGATGTGAGACGAGGATAGATGTGAGACGAGGATAGATGTGAGACGAGGATAGATGTGAGACGAGGATAGATGTGAGACGAGGATAGATGTGAGACGAGGATAGATGTGAGACGAGGATAGATGTGAGACGAGGATAGATGTGAGACGAGGATAGATGTGAGACGAGGATAGATGTGAGACGAGGATAGATGTGAGACGAGGATAGGATGTGAGACGAGGATAGATGTGAGACGAGGATGGATGTGAGACGAGGATAGATGTGAGACGAGGATAGATGTGAGACGAGGATAGATGTGAGACGAGGATAGATGTGAGACGAGGATAGATGTGAGACGAGGATGGATGTGAGACGAGGATGGATGTGAGACGAGGATAGATGTGAGACGAGGATAGATGTGAGACGAGGATAGATGTGAGACGAGGATAGATGTGAGACGAGGATAGATGTGAGACGAGGATGGATGTGAGACGAGGATAGATGTGAGACGAGGATAGATGTGACACGAGGATGGATGTGAGACGAGGATAGATGTGAGACGAGGATAGATGTGAGACGAGGATAGATGTGAGACGAGGATAGATGTGAGACGAGGATAGATGTGAGACGAGGATAGATGTGAGACGAGGATAGATGTGAGACGAGGATAGATGTGAGACGAGGATAGATGTGAGACGAGGATAGATGTGAGACGAGGATAGATGTGAGACGAGGATAGATGTGAGACGAGGATAGATGTGAGACGAGGATAGATGTGAGACGAGGATAGATGTGAGACGAGGATAGATGTGAGACGAGGATAGATGTGAGACGAGGATAGATGTGAGACGAGGATAGATGTGAGACGAGGATAGATGTGAGACGAGGATAGATGTGAGACGAGGATGGATGTGAGACGAGGATGGATGTGAGACGAGGATAGATGTGAGACGAGGATAGATGTGAGACGAGGATAGATGTGAGACGAGGATAGATGTGAGACGAGGATAGATGTGAGACGAGGATAGATGTGAGACGAGGATAGATGTGAGACGAGGATGGATGTGAGACGAGGATGGATGTGAGACGAGGATAGATGTGAGACGAGGATAGATGTGAGACGAGGATAGATGTGAGACGAGGATAGATGTGAGACGAGGATAGATGTGAGACGAGGATAGATGTGAGACGAGGATAGATGTGAGACGAGGATAGATGTGAGACGAGGATAGATGTGAGACGAGGATAGATGTGAGACGAGGATAGATGTGAGACGAGGATGGATGTGAGACGAGGATAGATGTGAGACGAGGATAGATGTGAGACGAGGATAGATGTGAGACGAGGATAGATGTGAGACGAGGATAGATGTGAGACGAGGATGGATGTGAGACGAGGATGGATGTGAGACGAGGATAGATGTGAGACGAGGATAGATGTGAGACGAGGATAGATGTGAGACGAGGATAGATGTGAGACGAGGATAGATGTGAGACGAGGATAGATGTGAGACGAGGATAGATGTGAGACGAGGATAGATGTGAGACGAGGATAGATGTGAGACGAGGATAGATGTGAGACGAGGATAGATGTGAGACGAGGATGGATGTGAGACGAGGATAGATGTGAGACGAGGATAGATGTGAGACGAGGATAGATGTGAGACGAGGATAGATGTGAGACGAGGATAGATGTGAGACGAGGATGGATGTGAGACGAGGATGGATGTGAGACGAGGATAGATGTGAGACGAGGATAGATGTGAGACGAGGATAGATGTGAGACGAGGATAGATGTGAGACGAGGATGGATGTGACACGAGGATGGATGTGAGACGAGGATAGATGTGAGACGAGGATAGATGTGAGACGAGGATAGATGTGAGACGAGGATAGATGTGAGACGAGGATAGATGTGAGACGAGGATAGATGTGAGACGAGGATAGATGTGAGACGAGGATAGATGTGAGACGAGGATAGATGTGAGACGAGGATAGATGTGAGACGAGGATGGATGTGAGACGAGGATAGATGTGAGACGAGGATAGATGTGAGACGAGGATAGATGTGAGACGAGGATAGATGTGAGACGAGGATAGATGTGAGACGAGGATGGATGTGAGACGAGGATGGATGTGAGACGAGGATAGATGTGAGACGAGGATAGATGTGAGACGAAGCTGATGGGAGTGACGTGGGCGAAGAGGCTGGGGTTGAGATCGGGGAGCTGAACGAGGTGGCGTGGTCAATCGTTCAAACGTATGTTTTCCTACCTTCTGGTTCGAGTGCGGAAGAAAAGGATAGATGTGAGACGAGGATGGTGAGGGTGGGACGAGGGTGATGGGAGTGGGACGAGGATGGTGGGAGTGAGAGAATGGTGGGAGTGAGAGGATGATGGGAGTGAGAGGATGATGGGCGTGAGAGGATGATGGGAGTGAGAGGATGATGGGAGAGACAAACGGGTGCATTTTTGTGACTTGCAATTCAGGGAGTACAGACATTTGCAGTGAAAGAACCTCAAACAATCATCCACACCCCGTGCATTTTCCTATTTCAGATAAATCACCCAACCACCTTCACACTAACCACCCAGTCTCTGAGCCTCACCCCCGGATCTTCCCCCCCTGCTGCCCCCGTATCTTCCCCACTCCCCCCTGCCCCCGTCCCTCCCATTCTTCACCATGCTCCCGTTTCACCCCCTCTTCCCCCTGCTCCCGTTTCACCCCCTCTTCCCTATTTCATTATAAGAACCCCCCGAAATCCCACCATGCACGCACCATGCATGGTAGGGTTGGTTGGCGGTGTGTATACCCTGTTTTGTTGGGTAAGTAACAAGCCACCCTGCTTGTCTGACATAACTTGTGACCACTGCTTCATAGACGTGAGTCTTATTCGTTAATTTTCTGGCAGGGTTTTGTTTTTTTGTCTTCCTTGTTAGAATCAGGGTTTCCTTCCCTCCCCCATCCGCTTGGTTAGAGAATACCACGTTTGGTGTTTGTTTGTTTGGTTTTTTTTTTTTTGGGGGGGGGGGGGGTGTAAATTCCCATTTATTTATTGTATGCTTATTGGTCTTGATATCTATCACCCCGTCAATTGTTCCAGCTCAGATTCTCACACTCTCCTATCCTCAATACCTCCTCTCTTCACATGGGTGGCCTTTTTGCAGAAGCACCGGTAGAAGCAGCAGCAGCAGCAGCAGCAGCAGCAGCAGGATCCTGATTCATGAGCATTTATGAACACTTGTAGCTGCACACTAGTCATCCCCCAAGCACCCCCCATCCACCCCCCATCCAGCATTCGCCAACACTTGTACCTCCACATGAGCTATCCCCCATCGTCCCCCCATGCTCCTGCCATTCTCTGAATCCTTCATCAATATGGTAGGCTCCTGCCAATGGGAGCAGCAGCAGCAGCAGCAGCAGCAACATACTGATTTATGAGCTGAGCATGCAATGCCACCTTCTTATCGTCCCTTCAACGCTCCTGCCATTCTCTGAATCCTTTATCAACACGGTAGGCTCCTGCCAATGGCATCAACAGCATCCTAATTCATGAGCATTCACAGTCACTTGTAGCTCCACATGAACCATCCCCCATCGTCCCCTGAATGCTCCTTGCCTCCCATCGTCCCGTGCTCCTGCCATTCACTCAATCCCGACAAACACACCCTTGGTCAGTGCAATGTAACTCTTCTCTCCCTCTGTACCTATCACCTCATTTCGTCTCGTTTCACAACCTCGCATCGTCCCTTCAATGCTCCTGCCATTCACTCAATCCCTACAGCACTCCCTTGGTCAGTGCAAGGTGATTCTTCTCTCCTCACGCACTCGATTTTTACAGCGTCCCAACCCACTTTTCAATCTTCTTTCCCTCACTTGCACTTCCCTTGTGTCCCTTCCTTCACTAGCTTTCCCTTGCTTCTCTCACTCCCTGTCCCTCACTCTCTTTTCATCACACTCCCTAACTTCACTTCCCTTTTCCCCACTCCCTGTCCACTCCGCTCCTCTCCTGATACTCCTTTCCGCTCTTAAGGCGTTGCATAATTTGTCCCACTTTTGATCCGCCTAAAAGAACATCCCTTGTGTACCACTGAACTGCCTGTTCCACTCTTCTTCCCCTCACACTCCTAACTATTCTCACTTCCCACTGTAGCCTTGTGTATGACGCAAAGCTGCGTAATAATAATCCAGTTGTGAGAATTGTAGTGCTTGCTCTTCTCGCCCTTGTTCCCCCTACCTAATTTCTTGCTCTCCTTCTTCACTCATCTCTTGTTCTGTGCTCCTTCCCCCTCCCTCACCCCACTCATTCTGTCTTTAAATTCGTGTCTTACCGTCCCCAGCTGATCCCTGCTTCACTACCGTGCATCGCATTACCATTTGTACCAGCAGGAGCAGGAGAAGCACACTGTTGGAATCAGTGCTGGGCAGATTTTACCGGCTTATTCCAAACAAGAACGGTAGAGGAATATTATTGTATCGGTAATGAACATTAAATATGATACCACTCCTTTGGATCATGCCGGATTTTGAAATTCTGAGCTTACAAACCATCACCTCTTCAGTGCAAACATGCACAGGCTGAGGTTCTTTACAGATACTGTAATTGGATAATACCCATGTACCCAGGAATATACCTTCTCCACTAAACCAGTTAATTTAGAAAGCTTGCTTTCTTGTGTTTGCAATGGCAACGAGCTTCGTTTCAAATGGGCATTACATCATTCTAGTCCGGGATATATATGGTACCTACATTACACATGACAACATGCAATTTTTGCTAGGGTGGGTGGGTGGGAAATAAGACATTTGAAATTTCAAACGAAGACGTGGGTGGAGGCCAAATGGCCTCCACCCCCTGCTGTATAGTTGGCGAAGAGCGTCTAGCACTTCGCTGTTGCCATTGCTGCATTACAAGCAGCTTCGCTTTCAAAATACACATTTTTAGAAAGTGTTACACACTTTCAAAAAATTTCATATTTAGAAAGCTTGCTTTCTTGTGTTTGCAATGGCAACGAGCTTCGTTTCAAATGGGTCTTCTGAGACATGAGACGGGGAGATGCTGCGGAGACGGTAAAGGTTGTTGATGGTTTATGCGACGACATGTCGGTGGAGTTCCAATCATGCGCGAAGAAGAAGGCTGGCACCGATGTTGATCGAGGTGCAGTATTCTCTGCTGTTGCATTGGAGTGTCGCCCTAAGTGAGTGTAGCATAGTAGTGGTTACTTATAAGAGTTGGCTCACACGTGAGCTTCGGACACGAACTCGCAAACAGTATGGGAGGACACGGGCAGCGGGCGTTAGTATTCTGTGTAATGATGGATGTGATGCTTGTAGGAGCCCAACCCTTGTTGCGGTCACAACCGTGCTCACATTACGAAGCGTGCATGCAACTTGTATCCGGGTACGGTAAATCTGTCAAGGTTTAAGCCCTTGGTATTCTTACTCATCTGCTATAGTTGTGCACCATTTCAAACTCACCAAAATTTTGTTCAACCAGCCAACTCAAATGTGATCGCTTCCAAACCTTGCACTTTGGGCTTTAGCCCTGGTATTTGACCAATATATAACTAAACTCACGAGCCAGAAAGGGACCCACCGGTCCTCCTCCCCCCTGGGGAGCTCGCTGGCCAGCACCGCACAGGACCCACCGGTCCTCCTCCCCCCTGGGGAGCTCGCTGGCCAGCACCGCACAGGACCCACAGGTCCGTTTCCGGCTGGCGCGAGGCCCCCGGTCCCAATCTCCCACGGGAGCGCATGGGTTGTGCCAAATGTTTTGCCGCAGTCTTTCTTCGCCGGTAGTCTCTCATGGCGACCCAAAGGTAGTTGCCTCGCACCGATTTACTGCGAAAAAAAATAAGAAATAGCATGAGAGAAAAACGCAGACGAACAAGAATCGAAGATAGGAATGAAGAAGAGGTGGGAACATATGCAAAGTAATAATTTATTCGTTGGCAAATTTCAACATCAGAAGCGCATCTGCCGCCAGTTTGTCTCTGGCGCGCCACTGGAATCTCGCCTTCTGGAGATTTCGCCATCATGCCTGCTGGTACCGACTTCCGCTGGACGCGCCCCTGGGTTCTTGCACGCCACTGGCGATTTCGTAGCCACATGCGGCAGTGGCGATGTTGACCATTTCGGCGCCATGAGCGCCACTGGCGCCACTTGCGCCGCTGGCGATTTTGACTCCACGTGCGCCACTGGCGATTTCACCACGCGCGCCTGTGGCGATTTCGTCGCCACGCACGCCTGTGGCGGTTTCGTCGCCACGCGCGCCTGTGGCGATTTCGTCGCCACAAGCGCCTATGGCGATTTCGTCGCCACGCGCGCCTGTGGCGATTTCGTCGCCACGCGCGTCTGTGGCGATTTCGTCGCCACGCGCGCCTGTGGCGATTTCGTCGCCACGCGCGCCTGTGGCGATTTCGTCGCCACGTGCGCCAGTGGCGCTGTCGCCTTATTAGCCTCGACGTGCGCGCCTATCGTGCGGACGGGTGTACCCGCAAGACATTTCTGAAACGTCTGTTGTGCTATGTCAATCTAGTTAATGCCTACTAATTTAAGAGAGAAGTGAGCGACTGAGGAGAACGGGAAGTCGTCGGACGAGAATGAAATAAGACATTTGAAATTTCAAACGAAGACGTGGGTGGAGGCCAAATGGCCTCCACCCCCTGCTGTATAGTTGGCGAAGAGCGTCTAGCACTTCGCCGTTGCCATTGCTGCATTACAAGCAGCTTCGCTTTCAAAATACACATTTTTAGAAAGTGTTACACACTTTCAAAAAATTTCATATTTATTCGCACACATTACCCAAAAATGATAATTTTTTAAACACACGAAGTGTTTTTCAAAATTACGTATTTCGAAAGCGCAGCTGCCTGTAACGCAGATTTGGCATCGTCGAAGCGCGCTAAACGCCCTTCTCCAACTACAAAACGTGGGTTGGAGCTCATTTCCCTCCACCCACGTCTCTCATTTTCCAACGGCTCATGCAACTCTCCCACCCCCCACCCCGACACCGAGGACATCTGCGACGCCGCTGGAACAGGAGGACAGACAGTTAGTCATATGATTGGTAGTACGCACGCATAATGCAGGATAGCTATTACAATGCTATGGTAGGTGGAATCAGGTCATGTACTAGCATCTATATTGTCTAGCTCGAGGTGCATGTTGTAATTTGCCAGTTGCAATGAGAACGATGCCAAATGATCAGTATAAGAAAGCAAGCTTTCTAAATCGTATACATAGAGCAATCGTGCGTAAAAAGTACTGGTACCAGTGGACCACTATTATACGTTTCCACTTTTTTTATACTGTGATGATACCGTGATGGCCACTAAGAGCAATTCAATAATGGGCACTGTAGATTTTTTACCCAACCTTTGGCAGCCCAACAACCTTCCCGTCTTTGTCCACAAATATGCGAATGCGATCGGTGCGATACATCATGGAAACATAAGCACTACTCGGAATGATACCAATGTCCCAATTGCACTGCGGAACCC